ATACCTTTTTACATTACAAAGTCAGGGTATACTCCGAAAAGTGATCGTTGGCAAAGTAGTGACTGTCCAAAGAGGGGCCCCATGTGTAAGGTTCGACAAATGTCACTCTTTGATGTAGCAGATAGCGCACGGTTGATGCGAGCCCTGCTGCATCGTCCCTGACGCCCTACAACTTTATGGGTAATTGCCAATGTAGGCATACAAGCATGGGTATGCCTTCTTGTCTCGCCCACCCGCATCTGTGTCAAATAAAGATCGAAGGGGGCTGCTGCCATTGCAGGGTGCAACATAGGGTATGGTTAGTAGGTGTGGGGGAAGAACAAGTACGGTGACAGCCGAGGGTGTGTGCAAATGTGACACACTCGTATAGGCGCACTTGTGCGGCAACTGGTGTGTGAGAGATGACATATGGACTAGCCTTATAGTGTCCATCATTAAAGGCCTAAGCACTATTCTTGCTGCCTCCTGGGACACCCTTGCTTTCTCCATGCCCAAGTCTGGGGAAACGGGAGAACCACCACAAAGATGTGCCCAGGCTCACACCATCGCAGCTCCTTCGGGGTGTTCACTAGTGAGATCAGCATTAGCCATGCCTGGCGTCGCCCCGTTGTAGACACGTGCATGCTGTCGCTGTTCACATTGATGCTCTTGGAGCACAGCATCCTGGGCGGCGGTAGTGAGCATTGGCCGGCGCCATGGATAACGATATGCGATGATGCGTCAACGTGCACCCAAAAGAACTAAGCACGTGAGCTGAATCATGGGTTCCGGAGTATGTGCATGAGTCGGTTGACCTCGCGACATGACAGGTTGGCATCCTTGAAGAAAAAGTACAGCTCCGTGAGCGTGTTGACCCCTCGTTGTCAGTGGTATCATCTGTTCCGTCGGATCCCTCTGAGGAATGAGAGTTCTTTCCACTGGGGCAGCCGCAGGGACAAGCGTGACCCACGGAACATCCGCAGCAGCTTTATCCGGTGTAGACTGGGGTTGGAGGGACTGCTGAAGGCCTGGCACATTGTCGTTGGGAAAGTCCTCGCCACACATGTTACAGTACCTGTTCTCTACGCCAGCCCGTGTGTCTGACTACTCTCATGTGATGGCAGGATGTAAAATCTACATAGGCGGAGACTACTTGCCGACCTAGTGCAACGGCATTAGGGTTAGAGTCATGTGCGCGTGTACTGTGGCGGTGCTACACTTTGCACGCTACACACATTATTGGTTACAAAAACCATGTCATTCTTAGGTGATGTGACTTTCTCAAAATTGTCCAAGCAATGCTAATTGGTGTGGGAATAGTCCTACTCCAGAAACGTACTTTGGAATCACGAACGACACACACGAAGAATCGTGGTTATGTCAGGGATCAATCCATGAATTCATGAATTACACTTAACTGCGTTACAATACATAACTTGCATGTGCAACATAGAGACGGTCTAATGCAAACGGCAGCCCCTGGCATGCAGAGCCAGGGCCTCGTGCACAAGACGAACGGGTTGTATCCGTAGGCTGGCGCCGCATGAGAAGCGAGACCGATGCACACAACCTCTTGCACCACCATGGGCCTAGACCTAGCATGCGAGATAGCTCCCTGGGGCACAGTGAGGACTAAAGGCCTTGGCCTCTAATGAGGAAGTCTTCTTGTTGCATGTTGGAGGTCGTCGCCAGCAATGACGTCAGCTCCGGACACGGAGTCTGCAGTGGGGCACGAATAGGTGGCACGGACCAGACTTTTCAGCACGAACGGCAGAGCGTCAAGAGGTTCCAACCCACACACGCACGCGCGTGAGCAATGCTAGGAGGCACTGCACCTCCTGCTGCCGAGGAATGCGTTGAGGCATGCCAACAGATCGTAAGCACCCAACACCCTCTTTTTATCCACCGCTATGGAGTCGTGGATTTGCAGGATGGAATATACGATCGTCGCACACTTCGCAATGAAATGACCGTGCGTGTAGTATAACCTGGGAAAATATTCATCGCGCCTAGCCTTGGGTGGGGCCAGTATTTTAAAGCTCGCACTACGGATTGTCCAAGAAGGGGGGTTTGTTCAACACTTGAAGTGGTGTAGCAAACTTTTTACGAGGGGCGCGGAGGTTGGCAAAATTTTGTTGGGGTTCGCTATCCAACCAAACCCCCCCCCCCCTGTTCAACTGCTAAATTTTTTGACAATCCGGACCCAGGGCTTTAACAGGACCAAAGGGGGGACGCTGAAGCAATTTGATTTTTTTTCGGGTTTCTGATGCATACGGTCTCTCCGCGGCCACCATAGTTCCAAACGGTTCTGCACCCACTTGAGTGTGTCTTCCCTCACTTCAGTGTGGTTTCCCTCATTGCAGTGCTTCTTCACTCACTTGAGTGTCTCTTCTCTCACTTGAGTGTGTCGTTTCTCACTTGAGTGTGTCTTCCTTCACTTGAGTGTGTCTTCCCTCACTTGAGTGTTTCTTCCCTCACTTGAGTGTGTCTTCTCTCACTTGAGTGTGTCTTCCCTCACTTGAGTGTGTCTTCCCTCACTTGGAGTGTGTCTTCCCTCACTTGAGTGTGTCTTCCCTCACTTGGAGTGTGTCTTTTCTCAGTTGAGTGTGTCTTTTCTCACTTGAGTGTATCTTCCCTCACATGAGTGTGTTTTCCCTCACTTGAGTGTGTCATCCCTCACTTGAGTGTGTCTTCCCCAACTTGAGCGTGTTTTCCCTCACTTGATTGTGTCTTCTCTCACTTGAGTGCGTCGTCTCTCAATTGAGTGAGTCTTCCCTCACTTTTGGGTGTCATCCCTCACTTGAGCATGTCTTCTCTCACTTGAGAGTGTGTTCCCTCACTTGAGTGTGCCTTCCCTCACTTGAGTGTGTCTTTTCTAACTTGAGCGTATCTTCCGTCACAAGAAGTGTGTCTTCCCTCACTCAAAGTGTGTCTTCCCTCACTCAAAGTGTGTCTTCCCTCACTCGAGTGTGTCATCCCTCACTTGAGTGTGTCTTCCCTCACTTGATTGTGTCTTCCCTCACTTGATTGTGTCATTTCTCACTTGAGTGTGTCTTCCCCAACATGATCGTGCATTCCCTCTCTTGAGATTGTCTTCCCTTACTTGAGTTTGTCTTCTCTCACTTGAGTGTGTCTTCCCTCACTAGAGTGTGGTTTCCCTTACTTGAGTGTGTCTTCCCTCACTTGAGTGTGACTTCTCTCACTTGAGTGTGTCTTCCCTCACTTGAGTGTGGTTTCCCTCACTTGCGTGTGTCTTCCCTCACTTGGAGTGTGTCTTCCATCACTTGGAGTGTGTCTTCTCTCAGTGGTGTGTGTGTTCCCTCACTTGAATGGGTCTTCCCTCACTTGAGTTAATCTTCCCTCACGTGAGAGTGTCTTCCCTCCCTTGAGTGTGTCTTCCCTAACTTGAGTGTGCCTTCTCACACTTGAGTGTGTCTTCCCTAACTTGAGTGTGTCTTCTCTCACTTGAGTGTGTCTTTCCTCACTTGAGTGTGTCTTCTCTCACTTGATTGTGGCTTCCCTCACTTGAGTGTGGTTTCCCTTACTTGAGTGTGTCTTCCCTCACTTGAGTGTGTCTTTTTTCACTTGAGTGTATCTTCTCTCACTTGAGTGTGACGTCCCTCACTTGAAGTGTGTCTTCCCTCACTTCCCTCACTTGAGTGTGTCTTCTCTCACTTGGAGTGTGACTTCCCTCACTTGAGTGTGTCTTCCCTCACTTGGAGTGTGTCTTCTCTCTCTTGAGTGTGTCTTCCCTCACTTGAAGTGTGTCTTCCCTCACTTGAGTGAATCTTCCCTCACGTGAGAGTGTCTGCCCTCACTGGAGTGCGTTTTCTCTCACTTGATTGCGTCTTCTCTCACTTTTGTGTGCCTTCCCTCACCTGAGTATGTCTTTTTTCACTTGAGTGTGTGTTCCCTGACTTGAGTGTGTGTTCCCTTTCTTGAGTGTGTCTTTCCTCACTTGAGTGTGTCTTCTCTTACATGATTGTATCTTCCCTCACTTGAGTGTGTCTTCCCTCACTTGAAGTGTGTCTTTGTTGTGTGATGTCATGATATGCTATCACATTCAATTCGCATGTATGGTTTGACTGTGTGTGAAAGAATTTGTGGTTGGTGTGTTCTAGAGTTTGGGAATGTGTTATGTGTTATTTTTGTTTGAGCTGGTATTTGTGATGATAGATCTTGAGAAGATCTTTCCGACGCAACAAGAATCGCTTCAATCGGAGCAAGAACGAGAAAGCTATGAAGATTCAAAGTTCATGAGCTTGCATTACAATTGCGGCGGTTACAAGGTGAAGTTGTGGGTTGACTCTATATGGAGTTGGGACCATTAGGGGTTGAGGAAATTCGTCACTCTACTGTAGCAGCTACAAATTGGTTGGGAACAACCAAACTAGGTTGGCAAGGGTGGCAAACTTGGTTAGATTGGATTGGGTAAGGGACAAAGGTCAAAGTTGGGGTTCCTATATGGAGGGAACTTTGTGCTTATGGGAGTTTCCTTGGTTGGGGACTCTCTTGGGACCTTCCCTCTCATCCCTCTCTTCTATTCAACCTTTCTCTTGCTCCTCTAATTCCTTGTGAGATTCTGAACTTGATTGAAGTTTGAGATTGAGTTAAGTTCTTCTCCTATAGCACACCCCCTGTGCGTCGAAACATAGCGTCGCGAATACTCATCAATCAACGTGATTCAAATTGGGAACGGTAGCTGAGATTAGAGCTACAAAAGATCTGGGTTCGCGACATTCAACGGCTAGTTTTTGTCGACAACGTTTTTCTGAATCGACGAACCTGTCAGAATTCGGATTTTTTTTAGTATTTCTAGCTCCAAAGTTCACCTAGACTCCATCCTTAATCCCAGCAAGTGGTATCAGAGCAATATTAAGACATTGAGAGGAGTCTACAGAAGTGTGAAGACTCTTCTAGACCCACCATGGCCTGTGGGTGTGCCTAAGTGGTGTCTAAAGGTTGGATGTGTCTTCCGCTAAGGGAAACTCTGCCGAAATTTCGTGGACGCCGACACTTGTGAAAATATCGAGGGAGCTGTGTGTGGACAGCAAAGGGGAGCTGAAATTCGTCATTTCTCAAGGAGAAGATGAATGAGAGAGGAGGAGATGCTAATGGAAGAGGAGCTGTACCTGAGAAGACAAGTGAGCCGCCGCCATCAAAAGTTGAAGCTTTGGATGGCTCCAACTATGAGGAATGGAGCGGACGGATGAGGAGTGCCTTCAAACACTACAAGCTACTGAAGATTGCTGTTGGAGGAGAAGATGCCGGAAGAAGGCGAAGCACGTGAACGGTGGATTGAGAAAAGCGCGGTGCTTTTCGACCTCATCCTTCAATCGGTCAACAAGGAGATGTTCGAGCACATCAAGGATCTTGTGGAAGCGGATGATTCGGGTCCAAGGGCGTGGAAACTACTACGTGATGTGATTCAGCCCAACATCTCCCGATGGTGATCGTGCTCGAGAAGGAACTTGCTGCCATCTCCATGCGACCAGGGACGATGTGAACCGGTCCTTGACAAGATCAAGGACACCTATGCAAGGATGGCAGCAGCGGGCAGCAGTGTATCTCAGCTGCAGCAGTGCACCAAGATCATCTCGGTGTTGGAAACTCTTGGGACAACCTCATCCCCACCCTCAACTCTCAGCAAGATCAATGGACACCTGAGTGGCTAAGGCAGCAGATTCTGCAGGAGGACTTCCGCAGACGCCATGTGGGAGCGGTGCTCCACTAAGACTGCTGAGGTATGGAGCTGCAGGGCGGCAGAGGAAGAGGGGGTTGGAGAGGCCGAGGCCGTGGGAGGAGCTTTGGCAGAGGTAGAGGCCGAGGTGACTACAATAAGGGGCATGGGAGCTCTGGTGGCAGGGGAGTACCAGAATGGAGGGCACCTGCTGGTACTGCAAGAAGTCGGGCATCCTTGGTTCAAGTGCTTCAGCAGGCCGGAGGGATGGGCACCTCCAGGCATGAAGCCGCCAAGTGGTGAACGCGCACAAGGTGGCAATGTGCAAAGCTCAGGTGCACAAGGTAATGCCTATCCTAGGATGTTTCTCGTGGTTGAGGATGTGCATGGGCAGGAGTGATGTGGGATATGTGGGAAAGGTTGTGATGCACCCTCTCACACACTGGGTGATTGATTCAGGTTGCACCAGTCACATGACCCCACGGGCAGATTTGCTTGATGAGGTAAAACCCCCTGGGAAGATAAGTATGGGCAGCAGCGTCAGGGCTTTGCTCCTGTGATTGGTGTTGGGAATGCCAAGGTTAAGGGAGCTAATGGGAGCTTGTGGGGCTTGGGAATGTTTGTTGGTTGAAGGTTTGTCTGCTAACCTTCTCTCTGTGCGGCGACTGCAGAAGAGCAAGGCCGAAGTGACCTTTGGACCAACCAGCTGCCGTGCTAAGCTTGGGAAGAAGGTGCTGTGGAGTCTGGAAGAGAGACCAGCTGCATCAAGGACCTGTGGCAGCTGCCCATCATCCCTTGGAATGGGAAGATTCCAACAGCAGCAACGGCAGCAGCGGCAAAGGCAATAGCAGAGGAGATGCAACTGCACCAACTGATGGGGTCCTGGAAGCAGTAAGAAAGTGCAGCAGCAGACACATGGTGAGGTGCTTGCTGTGTGGATGCGAGTGCGGCATGGGCTGAGGCTTCATGAAGAAGTGGTGAAGCCGATTCCGAGACATGGCATGAGAGGCTGTGTTATGTGAATTCCCTGTGCTGCAGAAGTTGGTGAAGGATGGGAGCCTCAAAATTGGAGGTCAAGGGGGAGTGAAGGAGATTGGGAAATGCCCTACATGCTTAAAGACCAAGTTCTCCAAGTTCCCCTTCAACAGCACTATAGGACCAGCCAAGACCCCACTTGAACTTGTGCACATGGATGTGGTGGGGCCCACAAGAGCCCCTTCCCTCTCAGGCGACCGCTATTTCTTGACAATTGTGGATAACCACACTCGAGCAGTGTTGGTTTACCCTTTGAAGAGCAAGCAAGAAGTTGGAGGATTCTACAACATGGATGTGCACTTCTTACTGTGTCTTCTCTCTCTTGATTGTGTCTTCCCTCACTTGACTGTGTCTTCCCTCACTTGAGTATTTCATCTCTCAATTGAGTGTGTCTTCCACCACTTGAGCGTGTATTCCCTCTCTTGAGTGTGTCTTCCTTCACTTGAGTGTGGTTTCCCTTACTTGAGTGTGCCTTTTCTCACTTCAATGTGTCATTTATCACTTGAGTGTATCTTCCCTAACTTGAGTGTGTCTTTCCTCACTTGAGTGTGTCTTCCCTCAATTGAGTGTGTATTCTCTCACTTGATTGTGACTTCCCTCACTTGCAGTGTGTCTTCCCTCTCTTGAGTGTGTCTTCTCTCACTTGGAGTGTGTGTTTCTCTCACTTGAGTTCGTCTTCCCTCACTTGAATGGGTCTTCCCTCACTTGAGTGAATCTTCCCTCACGTGAGTGTGTCTTCCCTCAATTGAGTGTGTGTCTTCTCTCACTTGATTGTGACTTCCCTCACTTTAGTGTGTCTTCCCTCTCTTGAGTGTGTCTTCTCTCACTTGGAGTGTGTGTTCTCTCACTTGGGTTCGTCTTCCCTCACTTGAATGGGTCTTCCCTCACTTGAGTGAATCCCTCACGTGAGAGTGTCTTCCCTCACTTGAGTGTGTCTTCCCTCACTTGGGTGTGTATTCCCTCTCTTGAGTGTGTTCTCTCACTGAGTGTGTCTTCTTTACTTGAGTGTGTCTTTCCTTACTTGAGTGTGGTTTCCCTTACTTGATGTGTCTTTCCTCACTTGAAGTGTGCCTTCCTCACTTGAATGTATCTTCCCTCACTAGACGTGTGTCTTCCCTCACTTGAGTGTGTCTTCCTTCACTCGAGTGTGTCTTCTCTCACTTGAGTGTGTCTTCCCTCACGTGAATGGGTCTCCCTAACTGTTGAAGTGTGTCTTCTCTCACTTGAGTGGTCTTCTCTCACTTGAGTGCGTCTTCTCTCACTTTTGTGTGTGTTCCCTCACTTGAGTTTGTCTTCCCTCACTTGAGTGTGGTTTCCCTTACTTGGAGTGTGTGTTCTCTCACTTGTGTGTGTCTTCTCTCACTTGGAGTGTGTGTTCTCTCACTTGAGTGAATCTTCCCTCACGTGAGAGTTTCTTCCCTCACTTGAGTGTGTCTTCCCTCACTTGAGTGTGTCTTCCCTCAATTGAGTGTGTCTTTTCTCACTTGAGTGTGTGTTCCTTCACCTGAGTTTTTCTTCCCTTAATTGAGTGTGTCTTACGTCACTTGAGTATGTCTTCTCTTACTTGATTGTGTCTTCCCTCACTTGAGTGTGTCTTCCCTCACTTGAGTGTGTCTTCTCTCACTTGAGTGTGTCTTCCACCACTTGAGCATGTATTCCCTAACTTGAGTGTGTCTTCTCTCACTTGAGTGTGTCTTGTGTCACTTGAGTGTGTCTTCCCTTACTTGAGTGTGGTCTCCCTTGAGTGTGTCTTTCCTCACTTCAGTGTGTCTTTTCTCACTTGAGTGATTCTTCCCTCACGTGAGAGTGTCTTCCCTCACTTGAGTATGTCTTCTCTCACTTGAGTGCGTCTTCTGACTTTAGTGTGTCTTCTCTCACTTGAGTGTGTCTTTCCTCTCTTGTGTGTGGTTTCCCTTGAGTGTGTCTTCGCTACCTTGAGTGTGTCTTTTCTCACTTGAGCGTATCTTCCCTCACGTGAGTGTGTCTCCCCTCACTTGAAGTGTCTGTTCCCTTACTTGATTGTATCTTCCCTTACTAGAAGTGTGTCCTCCCTCAATTGAGTGTGTCTTCCCTCAATTGAGTGTGTCTTCCCTCACTTGAGTGTGTCTTCCCTCACTTGGAGTGTGTCTTTGTTGGTGCAACCCTATGGCTTGCACTCGGCTTGTCGTCCTTGTTTGTGTGTGTGCATGCATGGCATGGAATGAATTGTGAGTCTATGTCATTGCTATCCAGTGCTTGTGTGTGTGTTTGAATGGTGTATCACAATGTGGTTTGTGTCGGTCAAGACATTAGCGACTTTTTACAACTCGCATGTCAAGTCGTCGTTTGTGTGTCGCATGTGTTATTTCTATTTTGTCGAGTGTGAAGTGTCCATCGTGTTGCAGGTGTGTGCAGCAAGCCCCCATCAACTCAAGAATAATTTATCTTGCAGAACCAAGACCAAGAGCTCAATATTTCAAGCCCAAGGGACGCGGATAAATATTAAATAGTGGAAATAGTAACGCTACTTCGTCTAGTGTTACATTTCACTTGGTGTAGCCCCTTAGAGGGTTGGTTTCGAGACTCTTTGTGGTTTGGGACCCTGTGGTGGTGTACCACCAACCTGGACCTCGGCTCTTGGGTATGTAGAGGCTGGGAACCATCTCCCTCTCGAATTCTTCTTCCTAAGTTTTTTTGTACTCCTAAGACTATAGTGGCTGCTGTACCTCCTGCCAGTCAAACTGCCATAGCGTCGTCAAATCTTCATGGAATTTCATGATTCAACTTGCTGCTGATAGACGACAGCATTGCGCTCCAGATCCAATTTACAGATCACCATTAAAGTCAGCGAGCAGATCGTTATCAATATTTGAAGCCGTCTGACGGAAATCCGACTGTGCTCTCTATCTCTCATTATTGGCACATCTGAGCCTATTGTGACTATAACAAGTGGTATCAGAGCCCCTTGGAGCTGTCTCGACCATGCCTAGGCCTGAGGAAGGGGGTGGCAGAGGTGCTGGAGGCAGAGAAGCTGCCCAAGCACAAGGCCAACACCAAGATCCACCCGTTGCTCCGGTGCAACCTAGACTTGGACCCTCTAGGGTGAGCCTAGAGTGTTTGGCCTTGACAAGTTCAACGGTGACAACTTTGCTGAGTGGTCTTTCAAGATGGAGAACATCTTTGACCACTATGATCTGCTGGAGGTGATGGAAGGAACGGAGAAGCGCCCCGAGAACGACCCGGAGAAGAGCCCGTGGGTGCGGAAGAGCGCACAAGGCTACCTTCTACTTGGGCAAGCGTTGGGGAGCAGCCAAATCCGTCACATCAAGCCTTTTCAGCGTGAACCAGCAAAGGGACCAAAGGCATGGGCTGCTCTCAAGGGTGTACACGCTCCTGCAACAGCGGCGGTGGCTGTGGTTTTGGAGCGGCAAATGGCGGCACTTGAATTGACGAAGGTGAATCGGTGGAGGAAGGAGTGCAGAAATTCTTCGACTTGTTGACATGCTCGAAGGAGCTGATCTGAACTACAGTGACCTTCAAAAGAAGACCAAGCTGCTGGCCTTACTTCCAGACTCATGGTCCTCGCTCATCATCAACCTAAATCGAGATCTGCCCCGACTCTCACTCGAAGATGTGAAGCGGGAAATCTTACAAGAAGATTTCCGCCGACGCGAATTGGCGGGTCCCGATGGTGCCGGAGTTGCAAGCATGGGCGTGGGCACGGCCGTGGAAGGGGCAGAGGGCGAGGAGGCAGATTTGGCAGCAGTAACTTCAGTGGAGGCCGTGGTAATGGAGGATATGGCACAGCAACAACAACAACAATGGCTACGGGCGTGGGCGCGGTCGATTTGATGGCGAATGCCACTTTTGCCACAAGACCGGCCACATGTGGAGAGATTGCTTCAGATTGCCTGATGGATGGACCCCTTCTCAAGGCCAAGAGGGCAGAGGAGCAAGGGGAGGAAGAGGCAGAGGTCGTGGAGGCCGTGGTGGCCGTGTAGGTGAAGCGGCAAGCATGAAAGGTGGAGACTACGACAAGGACTCGAGTGAAGATCGATACCCGGGCCAATTCTTCTTTGTCTCCACGCAAGCGGCAGCTGCAGCAGGAGGTGTGGATGGCTTTAAGGAGCCAGCTACTGTGGGAAAGGTCACCCTTCACTCTCTGGACTTTTGGGTGATCGATAGCGGCGCCACCTATAGCATGACACCTCGTGCGGACTTGCTCACCGAACTCGAACCGTCGCCGGTCAAGCATGTTATATCGGCTTTGGGGCAGCGAGCAGAGGTGAAAGGCATGGGCAAGGCCATGTTCAAGGGTGCTGATGGGAAGATGGTGGGCCTCAAGAACGTGCTTTGGGTGCCCAATCTAGCAGCCAACCTGATCTCTGTTCGGCTTTTGCAAAAGGCCAGCATGGACACATCTTCCAAGGGCTCCAAAACATATACCGCGCGGCTTGGTGAGCGGAAGCTTTGGGACCTTCATGAGGACAGGGACATCTACAATGAGATGTGGCAAATCCCAGTGGTCCCCATGCCTAAGGAGAGGCAAGTGGCAGCAAGCATCAGCACCAAGATTGAAGCGGTTGGTGGGGTGATCACGGAAAGCAAAGTGACACCAAGAGTGATTCGAAGAGTGCAATCTTGGAGAGACCAGCAAGGCGTGTGAATCCAAGGAGAGTGGTGCAGCAGCCAAAGGTGGTGGAAATGAGGAGGAGAATCCTAAGATCAGTAAAGCAGCAGTGGCGAAGGAGAAAGGAGAGAGCTCGTGGGGCACAATTGCGAGTGCCGCTTTCTCCAACCTGACTTCCGCTATGGGAGAGTGTGATTGGCTGACCTTGCATCGGCGAATGGGGCATGTGGCATTGCCCATTTTGCAGCAGATAGTTAAGCAAGAGATGGTCAGTGGAATACGTGTCCAACATGCATGCAAGCCAAGTTCACTCGCTACCGGTCCATAGCTCGGAGACAACGGCGAAGGCACCACTTGATGAGGTGGTGATGGATGTGGTGGGCCCCTTGAAGCTTGGAGCTGCTGGAGCAGAGTACTTCCTCACCATTGTGGACGTCTACACTCGCATGATGCTGCCCAAGAAGAGTGACGTAGCTGAAACGGTGAAGACCGATTGGTTGCCGATGGTGGAGCGGCAACAAGACCGACTTGTGAAGGCTATTTGCACTGACCGTGGGGGAGAGTTCCTGAGCAAGGATTTCTCAAATTGACTGAAGAAGCAGGGCATAAGGCACTCTCTTACCATGCCCTACTCTCCTGCAATGAACGGCATCGCCGAGCGTGCGAATCGGACACTCACGGAGACGGCTCGGGGACTTCTCATTGAAGCCGGTCTTCCCAATTATTTTTGGCCGGATGCGGTGCGGCATGCTTGTGTGGCCAAGAACAGAGCCTTGACTCATGTGGGAGAAGACAAATGGGTGCCCTATGTGGAGTGGATTGGAAGGAAGCCGAAGGTGGATATGCTTCGGATGTTCGGGGTGGCTTCTTTGGGACCCATTTACCAGGAAGTTCTTGGTGAGCAGAGATTGCAAGTTCATGGAGAACTTGGCGTACAAGGAGTGGAAGGCGGAGAATCAAGCGAAGATTGGTGTGCGGCTTGGAGAGGTGAAGAGTACCGGCTTGGAGCATGTGGAGCTGCCCTTGGAGCTGAGTAGCAGCAGCACAATCACGAGGCAATCTCCTCAAATGAATGGGGGTGAGGAGGAGGAGGAGGTGCAGCAAGATGATGAGCGTGCACCATCACTTCCGCCTCGTGCTACAAGTGCTCGTGGGAACCGACCAGATTTACCGCAACGCCATGAGAGCATTCAAGTCCCTGCAGCAGAGCAGGAAGGAAGGGGGAGAAGGAGGACTCAGCCCCCTAATAGGTTGAGCTATGACCGGCTTGGAGGACCAGCCAACTCAACCTTGACCGGTTCGGCTCTCATGCTAGGCGATGATGCGGAAGATGAAAGCGAGGAGTGCGCCTTTGCCTTCTTCTCTCCGGTGGAGATGCCGGGGGAGCCTACAAATCCCAATGAGGCTTGGGAGGGCCCCAATGGGAAGGAGTGGAAGAAGGCCTCAGATGAAGAAATGGGGAGCATCATAGAGAATGACACATTTGACTTGGTGAACCTACCTCCGGGGCGGAAGGCGATCTCTTCGAAGTGGCTCTTCAAGCGCAAGACCGACGCCGACGGCAACATCGAGCGCTACAAGAGCAGACTTGTAGCCAAGTGGTATCAGCAGCAAGAGAAGAAGGAGTACAATGAAGTGTATGCCCCTGTGGTGAAGGGTACAACCAGTCGAACCCTCTTCGCCGCGGCGGCCATCAAAGGATGGGTGGTGAAGCAAATGGATATAGTAACGGCCTTCCTCAACGGCGTTTTGGAGGAAGAGACTTACATGGAGCAGCCAGAGGGGTACAATGATGGGAGTGGCAGAGTGTGGAAGCTGAAGAAAGCACTCTATGGCCTCAAGCAAGCCCTAGGCAATGGTACATCAAGCTGCGGGAAGTCTTGGAGGCGATCGGCTTCACTCCCTCAACGGCCGATCAATCCTTGTTCATGCTTGGCGAGGGGGAGCAGAGGAGCTTCATGGTGGTTTATGTGGATGACATCCTCATATTCTCACCCTCCTCTGACCTTGTGAAGGAGGTGATGCTGAAGTTTCAAGACAAGTTCAAGTGCAAGACCCTAGGTGACGTCAACTACTTCCTTGGGCTTCACATTGAGCGAGATGTGGAGAAGCGGTGGATGCGAGTGCATCAAAAGAAGTACTTGGAGGCATTGGCTGCAAACTTTGGGAAGAGTGAAGGTCATGTGGCTACTCCTCTTCCCTCAGGGTTCAAGTGTGTGAAAGGACCAGCGGAGGAAAGTGTTGGTGAAGAGGAGAGGCGCCGTTTTCATTCCTTGGTGGGCAGCCTCATGTATGCCGCCGTTCACACAAGGCCGGATGCAGCCTTTGCTACCGGGCAGCTGGCTAGGGTTGTCCAATGCCCTACTGAAGAGCAGGTAGCAGCTGGAGAGAGGGTGGCCAAGTACCTTGGCCAAACAGCAACTGTTGGACTGCAATACTCCGCGGCGGCACAAAGGCGTCAAAAGGGTGCGGATGGAGTCGAACCCGGGAGGCTCTTTCTCACCGCCTTCTCTGATGCATCTTGGGCATCAAAACCAGAGGATATGACAAGTGTGAGAGGCTTCATCTGCTCTGTTGGTGGAGGCCCAACAGCTTGGGAGAGCAAGAAACAAGTGGACCAAGCATTGAGCTCGGTGGAGTCCGAGTACATGGCACTCTTCCGTGCCATAAGAGAGGTTGTGTGGCCGCGGCGTTTGCTAGCTGAATTGGGGGAGGAGCAGCAAGGACCTACCCCACTCTACTGTGATAGCCAGGGTGCTATTGCATTGGCAAATAACCCCGTTCTTCATGGCCTTACCAAGCACATGAAGGTGAAATGGCATTGGGTGAGGAGCATGGTAACCGCGGGTGAAGTGGAGTTGCACTACGTGAAGACGACGGCGCAGCCTGCTGATATGATGACTAAGTGGCTGGTTGAGCAGCAGCATTGGAAGTGTTGCAAGCTTGCTGGGATGGCTCTGAACTAAGAGGAGCAGATTCTAAGGCCAACAATCCGAGGGGGAGTTTGTTGGTGCAACCCTATGGCTTGCACTCGGCTTGTCGTCCTTGTTTGTGTGTGTGCATGCATGGAATGAATTGTGAGTCTATGTCATTGCTATCCAGTGCTTGTGTGTGTGTTTGAATGGTGTATCACAATGTGGTTTGTGTCGGTCAAGACATTAGCGAGTTTGTGTCGGTCAACTCGCATGTCAAGTCGTCGTTTGTGTGTCACATGTGTTATTTCTATTTTGTCGAGTGTGAAGTGTCCATCGCGTCGCAGGTGTGTGCAGCAAGCCCCATCAACTCAAGAAGAATTTATCTTGCAGATCCAAGACCAAGAGCTCAAGATTTCAAGCCCAAGGTACGCGGATAAATATTAAATAGTGAAAATAGTAACGCTACTTCGTGTAGTGTTACATTTCACTTGGTGTAGCCCCTTGGAGGGTTGGTTTCGAGACTCTTCATGGTTGGGGTCTGTGGTAGTGTACCACCAACCTTGACTCGGCTCATGGGG